TTGTGTTTACTATATGATTGCAACACTAAGACAAGATATGGTTGGAGTTGGTTTCACTGGGACAGAATAGCATAGGCAGTAATAAAAACATAAGAAAATGTTATCCATCCTCATTTTATTATAAATACTTAAATTTTATCTGTATTCCTATCAAACAGAAATCCCAGCACTTCTGTCCTGAAAGGAACCTGATGTGTGTGATAGCACTGGACTAATAGAAGTAATAATTGATTCTAATCGATGTGCCATAAAGCAAGTCCATGACTGAAGTCACGTATGGGTGGACCCTGTTCTGATCTTAGGCTGCTACCTCTCTGATAGCGATACAAGGAAGCGCTCACCAGATAGTAGGTTCTTGAATGTGCCCAGGACAAAAGATCGTCTCACTTTAAGACATTTTTTAAGCATTTAATGGTTAAGAACATCAGATACAGCCAATGTATTTTAGGGGAAAAAGCTTCCACCTTCTGTAGTGCCGTCAGGAGACACTGGTCTTCATCAAGCCTTAACATGGGTCCCTTTGTGCATTTCATTTTGTTGTACTTTTTTTTAATACCAATTGCTCAAACCCTGAAGAAGAGGGAGACTTTCTTTCGCCCAAAATGCGTTGGTTGTATGTGATGCAAATAACCATTAAATGCTTCAAAAAGTCATCAGAGTCAGATGAACTTTTGTACCAGGAACTCCTGAGTACACATTCAAGAGCCTACTATCTGAAAGGAAAGATGGGGAATTATCCCTAATAAGAACAAATGCAGACATAAAAACGTTCCTGTTCTGTCCAAAACAAACTAAAACCTCCAGGGTGGAGGTGTCCTCATTCAATTAGAGGATCTTTTAATGTGTGCCTGGAATTCAGCTGTAACCTTTCCTAGATTTATGTCTGGGGATGTCTGTATAGACAGTTTGCAAAATATTTTTTAAAAATATTTCAAAAGTAATGTAATGGATTTCAATTTAGCTAATGTACCACCCAAAATCCCTATTTTCTTATCATTAGTTGTAACTTGAAATAGGATTTGCAGTGGGAATGCCTGCTCCATAAGATGTCAGGCGGGAGGGAGGTACTGAGGTGGATTTCCAGGTGGTGTACCACTACTGGTGGCCCAGAGAGCAGGCAGGAGGCAAGGCATAGAGTCTGCAGGATCTGAACAGTGTTGTCACCTACCTTGATTATGCTACAATTCATAGTGTACGTAGGTTGTGGTCATCTCAAGAGTTTGTGCATCTCTTTACAAATAAATTAACACAGAGACTGTTGTTGCAGCTGGGTCATTAGCTGTTGGACTGGAGTTGTCCTGTTAATAAAAATATCTTGTGTATTGAATTTGTATTATTATTATTTTTTTGCAGATCAGTGGAGGTCAGTTGGTCTCCACCAGAGGAGCCGAATGGAATTATTCTTGGATACGAGCTTAGAAGAAGAACCTTGTACCACTGTATGGGACAGAACGTAACAAGGGGTGGGAATAATGAACCATGCATGTCAATTAAGTGCAAGAAAGGTGAAGACATATGTGGAGTGGTGTGCTACAACCCTCACCAACAGGTAAAACTGCTTTTATAGGTGCATCTAGAAGAGTTGGCCAATCAGGAGTCTTCTATCTTAGAAGGGACTTTCATTTCTGGAATGCTATATGATCCTTTGGTTGTTGGGGGACTGTCAGTTTCAGCATGGAACTAAGTCTAATTTACTTACACTAACCCCCCAAGATCACTTTCTTTATGGATTTATCCTTTAAAGTGAATCTGTTCTCTATTCTAGACTTTTAACCTGTGGGTGAGTGCAGCCTGGTGTGGCAGCAGTAAATACACATAGGGATTAACTTACTAAATGCAAGTACAGTTGCTCCAGAACATAATAAATGAGGGGAAGCTCTACTGACTTCTATCATCCAGTCATGTGCAAGAATCTTTGCATGGGATTGGGTATTCTTTGCAAAGTGAAGCTTTACCGCATTTACTAAGCTCTGGAGCAAATGCCCTAGCAGAGAGCAACTGCGCTTGAAAAGTGCACAGTCTATGTGCCTTTAGCATATCAACCCCAAAGTCCAGTTGCAAATAACAAAACTTGTATTGAAGTAATAGCCCAAAGATCCAGACAGTCCAGTGGGAAGGCACCCAATTGGGAACACTCACAGTTCTGTACAGTAATGCAGAGTGGATCAGGTCCTGCTGCATCAACAACATCTGTCTATGAGGGTGGAATGTGGCCTGGCCAGTCTGTGCCCAATTGGGAGGGTTCCTGTCTGTCCACACATACAGTAGCTAGGCTGGTGCAGGGCATGGAAATGGCAGCTGCTGCCTGGGTTATCATCCACTTGTCCATAGAAAACCAAATGGGATGGAAAGTATTGCATTGTGGTAAATTGGTATTTTGGTGTTATCCACTAAGGGTACTAATTTGTGGTTTTGTTTCTGTGTAATATAGTAAAATCTGTAAGATAACTAAATTAGTTTATAAACAATACCCAAGGAAATAAGAAACTAGGGCTAGCTATACATTATGCAATTTTCTTTCCTTTAATTACAGGTTCAAGGAAAGAAAATTGCTTGATTTCCCCATCATCCAAGTCAGTGCTAATGGGGGAATCCCTCCACCAGCACTATTTGGGTGCAGAATACAATGATCACTGCTGGTGGTTATAGCTGCCAGCAGTGACTGCATTAAAACAACCCAACAGGCTGGTTGTACAACCAGCCTGCCCATAGATGGATTGAAATTTGGCTGGTTCCAGCTGAACCGGCCAAATTCCGTTCTGTCTATACCCAGCTCAGCCCTAAGAACTACTTGGGGCAGGGGCGGACTGGCCATTCATGCACTCGGGCGCTGCCCGAGGGCCCAGGGTCAGTAGGGGGCCCCATGAGATGCCCCTAGTACCTTTCATAGGATTTTTTGGGTGTGGTTTGAGTGTGGGTGAGGACACAGGGGCCCATGATCCCCTATTGCCCAGGGGCCCCATGAGTTGTCAGTCCGCCTCTGACTTGGGGTTAAGTAATTGTTAATAAGGAGTTAAACTGAAACAACTATTATAATGGTCTGTTCCAGTTCTGGCTTGCTAGAAAACCATTATACAAGACAGTTTTTTTATTTGCACATAAGACCTGACAAAATGTAAAAATATTGTTACATTATATTTATGAATGAAGCCTGCAATTATTGTCTGCAGGCTTCATTCATACAGTAGGCACTGTCTGAGCTCTTGAATGTGCCTGTGTCATTTTCCCAATGGGCTAGTGGAAAGCAGAGCTTAGCTTAGAATAGACGAAGGGTTATTGTTTGTTTCATTGTTTTTGTGTTTTTGTTTTATTTCAGTCTCATTTATGTTGGAATGAAAGGACAAAGGGTCCAATGGATACAATTGCTAGCACTGGGGATAGCAATAAGTTTCACAAACACCCCCTCCCCAAATAACATACACACCCCACCTTCTTGGGGCACCAGGCATATCTGCATGGTGCTAGTGTTTTAAGCTCTGAAGCCGTGCTTGACACATTTGCTTAACGGCCCGGTTAAATCGCTGGATTATCCTGTATTGAAAATCAATTTCTTTCTACTCAAAGTTGGGCGCTTGTTTACTTGACAAGTAGCCATGAAAAGACCTTCCATAATTTGTTAGAAGTGCTTTTTTTTAAATTATTGTATTTTGCAGATTAATTCTTATATTAACTGGTGTTTAGGTACTGAATCAATATGGGAACTGCACAGCGGGAGACTCCAAATGGCTTTTATTGACAAATTGCTCTGAATAGTCTCTGTCGACGACACATAATGAAATAATGTCCCAATTTGTCAACAACAACACAGCAGTGGCAAGGACCGAGCTATTAGTAAATTCACAAAATAAACCACGTAAGGAGACAGTAATTAAAAGCCCGAATTATCTGATTTGGAATGAAATATAAATTATTCTGCAGTGTACACATTTTGCCGTAGGTTGGGGCGAAACGCCATGTAAATAGCACTTATGGAACACTTTATTTTCATCCCTTCATTATCCGCTATGATTTTTGTGTTATGTGATGTTGCTTTGCAATTATGTCATTGTAAATGAGAATATGAAATGTCATGGGGGGAGAAATGAGCATTTGTGTCTGGGTAATTTAGCCATTTGGTGACAAATTTGGTTGGAAACATCCCAAAATGACCCTTTTTAAATGCTATTAAAGTCATAATTGCTGTTTTTTTTTTCTTTCTGGTCATCGCTGCTTAAAGGGCATCCAACGCTATATATTTTTTTCATTTTACTTTTTCTGGTGTAAATATTACAGAGCAATTCCCAGCAACAAGTAAAATAGTTCAGTTGTCTGGTAATTTATTCAGGAAATATTTCCATTGTTTGAAAGTCATTTTATTTTAAGTTTTAGCATTTTTCAGAAGGCCTTTGAACAGGACTGTGGCCTCTTGCCAGTCATTTTGCGCTGTGCTGTGTGAAAGGACACTGGGGGGTGAAGCAGGTTTCTTAAGTTGTAATATTCCTATAACAACTGTGCAATTTTATTTACTGTGCATTGCTTTTTTTCTTACCAATCAAATAAATTATTACTGCATGGACCAAAAATAATTTACTATGCTTGTGTTATACTTAACAAACGCATTTTATTTTAGAAAATATTTTTACTATAAAAGGCAATTCAAAAAGCTATTTGCAAATTCAATTCTATGTTTATACCATTGATAAACACAGATTTCTTCCCTCCAGGGAGGGAAGATATTTCAGGTAAATGGATAAAAAAAAGGGAATGCATAGTTAACCAGCTGCCGACCGCAGATAGCCGAATGACGGCTTCACTGCGGCCGGCCAGTTCTGAGTGGACGTCATATGACGTCCTCCCAGAACGCGCTCTCCTGCGCGCCCCAAGGGGCGCGCACCCGGCAATCTCCGTGATCGCTGTGTCCTACGGACACAGCTGATCACGTGATGTGGTAAAAGGCCAATCACAGCGGCCTTTTACCACCTGATCAGCGGTGTCCAATGACACGCTGATCAGAAGGAAATGCAAGCGCCGGTTCTCGGCTGCACTTTCCTCACGCTGTCAGATCGTGAGGAAAGTACTGCCGAGAACTGGCAGTTGTCAGAGCGGGGATCGGCACCGATCATCAGGGCACTGATGATCAGTGCCCTGATGATCGGTGCCCAGCAGTGCCACCCGCAAGTTCCGCCCAGCAGTGCGCCCACTAGCTCCGCCCACCCGTGCCCATCAGTGCACCCACCTGTGCCCAGCAGTGCACCCACCTGTGCCACTCTGCAGTGCCACCTACCTGTGCCCATAAGTGCCACCTACATGTGCCCAGCAGTGCCACCCACCTGTGCCCACCCACCTGTGCCCACCAGTGCCACCCACCAGTGCCCACCCACCAGTGCTGCCCACCAGTGCCACCCACCAGTGCAGCCCAGCAGTGCTGCCAGTCAGTGCCACCAGTCAGTGCCCAGGGGTTGTGCCAGTCAGTGCCGCCAGTCAGTGCCCAGCAGTGATGCCAGTCAGTGCCGTCTATCAGTACCCATCATCAGTGTCACCTATCAGTGCCGCCTATCAGTGCTGCATATTAGTGCCGCCTATCCGTGACCTCTAATTAGTGCTGTCTATCAGTGCCGCCTATCCATGCCACCTCATTAGTACTGCCTATCAGTGCCCTTTAGTGCTGCCTATCAGTGCCCATCAGTGCCGCCTATCAGTGCCCATCAGTGCTGCCTCATCAACGCACATCAGTGAAGGAGAAAAAATACCCGTTTGAAAAATTTTATAAAAGAAACAAATAAACTTTTTTTTTTTTTTCAAATTTTTTGCACTTTTTTTATTTATAGCGCAAAAAGTAAAGCGCCCAGTGGCGATTAAATACCACCAAAAGAAAGCTCTATTTGTGAGAAAAAAATTATCAAAATTTCATATAGGTACAATGTTGCATGACCGCGCAATTGTCAATCAAAGTGCGGCAGCACTGAAAGCTGAAAATTGGCCTGGTAAGGAAGGGGGTATAAGTGCCTGGTAGGCAAGTGGTTAAAGGATATAATGGATGGGGGGAAAATTCACACATTTCAGGAGTTAAAAAAAATGAGCAGTTGTTTTCTTCGTCAAATTAGTGGAGATATCTTCAGTTAAAACATTTTGTTAGTTCACTTCCTAAGCCCTTAAGACCAATGACGGATTTAAACTCACTAGAACAAGTTTTTAATACAAACAAAATATGGAAACAGGGCACTTCCCGGATTTATAAAACTCTCACTGAAATGATGGGGGTTGCCCCTCCTGCGGACATGGAGAAATGGGAAAAGGAATTAGGAATAACATTTGACGAACAACAAAAAAAGAAAATGTTTAGATTAACACATGGAGCAGTAGATATGAGGGCGGTGGAAATGAACTGGACAAATAAGTGTTTGGCAAGGTGGTATATTACACCAAGTGTGGCACATAAACAACAAATAGCAAAAATCACCCCAAAACATCTGAACTCCACCATATTTTAGCGTAAAACTGTTTTGATGTCTATGTTGGAGAGGATGTGGGATGAAGGGCACAATGGCACATATATGGTGGGAGTGCCCCAAAATTCAAGAGTATTGGGAAGAAATAATTTATTTAATTCAGAAGATAACGGGGGATGAGGTCCCGAAATATCCAGGCATATGCTTATTCCATAAAACTGAGACTACAGTTGAAAAATATAAGAACATTTCATCTGTTAAATGTGGCAAAGGGGTTAATGCCTAACTTTTGGCAAGAGCAGGAAATACCAAAAAAAAAAAAAGATTGGATAAGTAGGGTTGACTATGTATATAGGATGGAGGAACTCTACCATCAGGAAGAAGACAGAATGGCGAGATTCAGCAAAGAAAGGTGGGAGAAACGGGATAAGTTCAAAGAGGAATTTAAAGAAAGATAGGGAGGAGAGAAGAAAGGAAGAAAGAGCAGGGTGCCTTGAGAGTGAAGAGTACAGATGTGGAGCAAGGAGATGAGAGGGAAAATATCAGGGAACAGAGGGGGGCAAGGGGGGTGGGAGTGGGTGGGCGGGGGTTTTTTCTCTTTTTTTTGAGAGGTATAAGGGTATTGTATAATGTTGAATATTTTGGAATTTTTTCTTAACGATGTAATGTGATTTATTGAAAATTAATAAAATATTTATAAAAAAAAAAAAAAAGAAAGCTATTTGCAAGTGTTTAACTCCTTAAAGAATACCAGTTATCACTGGGCATCTGTATTATACAAGACAGTTTTTTTTAATTTGCACATACGCACTAACAAAATACATTGTTAAAATATTGTTACAAATGTTTTTAGGAATAAAGCCTGCAATTATTGTTTGCAGGCTTCATTTATACAGTAGACACTGTGGGGGAGATTTACTAAAACTGGATCACTCGGAATCTGGTGCAGCTGTGCATGGAAGCCAATCAGCTTCTAGCTTCAGCTTGTTCAAATTGGCTTTGGCAGTAAACCCTGATTGGTTCTATGCAGATCTGAGCTCTTGAGTGTGCCCTGGATGTCAGTTTCCCAATGAGCTAGCAAGAAAGTAGGGCTTAGCAGAGAACAGAGGAAGGGTTATTGTTGGTTTCATTTTTATTGTGTGTGTGTTTTATTTCAGTCACATTTATGACTGTATGAATCTGAATTGTAATAGTTTAGCCTTACCTGTCAGAGATTACCTTTATTTTTATTTAACTGTTTTCTTTCCCTGTCAGAGTCAGGGCTCATTTACAGGAGCTTCATCCTCCAAAGAATGGTTTGAGGTGGATCACGTTTCAGAGGACGTTTAACAAGCAAAGTGGGAAGGCATTATGTCACCTCCTCACGACCTGTTTTCTTGTTCAATATGTTTATTATGTCGCACTCTCATAGATTAGTGTAGGTTTGTTAGGTAAATTTAGTTGGCTCCTCTGTACTCAGTGGGGCGGGGGTTGATTGTTCATGCCTGCTCACTGTCTCACAGGCTGCCACTCTGATTGCTCCCTCTGTATTCTAGAGGATTCTAGAATTATAGTGGGAAGAAGAATAGAGGAAGTAGCCTGAATATTTATGGGAATCCAGCCTATCAATGGGGAGGTGTCCAATAGGTGGTTGGAGAGCCCATAAATAGACTTAGGTCTAAGACAGGGGGGTGGGGGGTGAGTTCTTGGGTCCAGTCCTGCTGGAGGAGACTCCTGTTCAGGGGCTCTGCCCCTGGAGTAGGAATATTGGAGGTGCCATCTAGAAGACATTAAGGTACCAGCTACAGCCTTTGCTGGGGAGGCCTATTTTGCAAAGTCTAGTCCTTGAATCGGTTTGGGACATGAGAAGCTCACTGGAGAGTGCCAGGAGGAAGTTGAGAAAAGTGTCCAGTTGTCCTATGGTGGAGTGAGTCTGTGTCTCCCTCACTGAAGAGTGCCCTGTTGATATTGAAAGGAGGCAACTGATGATCCTGTGGCAGTGTGAGTAGATGACCCCATTGCTGGAAAGTTAGTGACTGTGTGTAGCTTTTGGTTCTTTAATAGAAGTCATAGTCACCATCAGCATTAGAGATTCTGTGGTACATTTTTGTGCAGCTCAGCAAGAGAGAGAAGAATCCTCAAATTGTTCAGTTCATCCGTTTTGGGGTATTCCATGCTTCCTTCACCCCATCCATGTTGCAATAACACCCTAAAATGACACCCCTAGACTGTTCCATTTGAGCCAGTGGAGGGAGTGAAGAAGATTCTGTGTGCCTGACTGTGTGTACTCTGACTGGGAAAAATGAGTCAGGTTAACCAATGAGTTCTTAGGGGGTGCACTCAAATTATTTTCATCAATACAAAGGCACTTGGAATGCACACAGAGATGTTGATCAAGTAGCAAGTGATCCATTTACAGTGTAAAAAAAAGAGAAAACAAAGGTACAAACGATAGTAGAGACAACATATGGTGGATAGATATATCAACCTTAATGGCAGAGATCGGCAAATCAGGTTCTATCAGGAAAAGATATACACCATGCAAAATATGCAGTAATTGTAGTAGCAGGGCTCTAATCAACTTGCAGTCAGCGAGCTATTGGAGGAAAGTAGGATTCCAAGTGTATTCATAGTAAAGGAACGAATGGAAGGGAGGACGAGAGAGAGGAGGAAAGGTGGTAGGTAAGGGAATTAGAGGGGACTCCTGAGACTGAAGGAGAGGGTGTTAAGGTGAGGTAGGTCCAAGAAGACAACCATGAGTGAAGCAGTAAGGAGCCATCAAAGTGTGGGTGAAGATAGTGGTCTGCCCAAGGTTGCCATAATTTAGTGTATTTTGGCACTTTATTTAGCAGAACTGCTTCAGTTTTAGCATGGACCATGACCTAAAGAACCCTGTGCTTGGTCTTCACTATACTTAGAGTGGTGAACTTCCAGGACTTCCAGAGCTGACATGCGGGTGTTTAGAAGAGTGAGTTGAGAATCAGGGGCAACTTATATTGAAAATAGCGTGGAGATCATTTGGAATATATCAGTCCAGAGTTGGTGTGCTACTGGGCAGGCTCACCACCTGTTTTAACCCCTAAAGAACATTGCAAATATAGAGCACAGCCTCCAAACATGGCCCTCTAGACACTTTACTATTCATTGGACTCCAGCCCACCAGCTCTACCACCCATTGGAGTCCATCTCCAGCTCTAACACAAAGAGTATGTCATTTACAGATGCACTGGAAGGTTTGGGAAGGAACCCAGTGCATGTGCCAATCAGTAGAAGCTCTGCCCTCTGGTGTCCAATGGGCAGGATCAATTGGTGCATTGACCCCTGCTACTCAGGTCAGTCATACCAGCCTTTGTGGCTCCTGTTTTTCTGAGCTTGAGTTAACCTGTGTGTGTTACCACTGTGGTATTTTGAAAAAGAGCAGACATTTTTTTGGAGCCCCCCTCTTGAAGCTCTTTCCTGGTGCTGATGGGCATGTAAAATTGTATCAGCATGGTGGGAGATTGCACAGTTGTAGCTATGGGGATATCAGAACACAATATACACTCACCAGCCACTTTATTAGGTACACCTGCTCAATTGCATGATAAAACTAATCGCTAACCAGCCAATCACTTGGCATCAATTGAATGCATTTTAGGCATCTAGACGTGGTGAAGACGATTTGCTGAAGTTCAAACTGAGCATCAGAATGGGGAAGAAATGGGATCTAAGTGACTTTGAATGGTGTTGGTGCCGGAAGGGCTGCTCTGAGTATTTAAAAAAACTGCTGATCTACGGGGATTTTAATGCACAACCATCTCAAGGATTTACAGAGAATGGTCCAAAAAAGAAAAATATCCAGTAAGCGGCAGTTGTGTGGATGAAAACGCCTTGTTGATGTCAGAGGTCAGAGGAAAATGGGGAGACTGGGTCTAGATGGTAGAAAGGTAACAGTAACTCTTATCAATGT